TATATATATATATATATATATTATATAACTATATTATATATATATATATATATATATATAGTAGTAGTATATATATATATATATATATATATATATATATATATATATATATAAATAGATATATATAGATATACATATGTGTGTCTTTTGTGTGTTCGCATACGTAGAAGAGACATATATATATGCATTTGTTAGTTTACGCATATATTGAAGTCGTATACACACATATATATACGTCTGTAAATAAATCTATATACATATATATATATATATGTGTGTGTGTGTGTGTGTATACTTATCCACATACTTATATATGAATATATTCACAATTTTACATGTATACATACAAACAAATGAACATGTAGACGGCTCGAAAATACATGCTCCCTTTTACGTAGAAATTTCAAGTATTTCGCATCTGTCTCGTCGGTATACATACATACAACAGCAACTGCCAGTCTGCACGCAAGTAGAAAGTTATAAATTATTTTGTACCTAGTCGGAAATTAATCTGCACTGCTATTTTTTTATATGCTGTCCAAACCCAGCGGTGCTACTGGATCAGTCACACTTCTAAAACCTTTATGTATGTGTGTTGTAGTGTAGTATTGATACCAGAGAATCAAGTACATGTAATTATGCAACGCTTTATGGTTATACATGCATGTACATCTGCATGTAGTTAAAACAAATATGTGTGTGTATTGTGCCTACCCTCCCTATTCCCTGACAATTACCCTATCGCCATGTTGTAACTAATGTTGCGTCTGATTGGTTCTGCTCACAAATCTAGCCATGTAACACACGCATAAGTGTCGTTATTAAAGAAAGAAGATGCTCACAAAAACAAAATCGCGAAAAGAATTTCCACTTTTACTCTTTCGTTGGGCTGTAAACCCAATGCTCGAATGTAAATACATCGCATATAGTATTCGCAGGGGCCAGCTAAGCAAATCAGATAGTAGTATCCCCTGTATATTGCTGTCGACACTTATATATCAACAAACATGTACATGTATTTTTGTACTTCATACTCTTAGAGAACATACTCGAGAGTTCGCACAATTAGTCACAAATGCGCTTCCCTGACATGCTTCGGCAAGCCACGCACTTGATAGCCTACAATCGCACGCATGCACAAGTGCGCTCCCGCATAGATATCTACCGTATGTGATGACTTATATATTCTCACACGAACAGACACATCACGGCTTTTTTCTTACATGTAATACACCCGCACTTATTGGATCGTAAAATCCCTCCGTATACAAATATACATACTCAAAAAGTAGTACCTGAATGGATGTACATATATTCAATAGATCGTCACATTACGCAGGTACCTCACTCGCTATGCTACGCCAAGCCGTCCATCTGATAGGCTACGCTCGCAAGCGTGATCACGCGTACACACGCGTGGGTGTCTCTGAGGTCACGTGCGTTGCTGCTGTGCAGGCTGCAACGGGCGTGTGCATGAAGACATCCGAGCTTATAGCCGTGGTACACCAGGCCCGCAACCAGTTCAAGCAATTCTTCATGTGGCTTTGGGTGGTGAGTTGTTATATGTATGTGCAATTGTATGTATATCGCATATATTTGTAAATACGTGGTGCTTATGTGTGTATCTATATAAATTTTGGTATGTGTGTGTGTACACGACAGCCTCAATCTTATAGCCATGAGTCACCCGGCCAGCGCCTAGTTCCAAGAAATCTTCGTGTGCCTATCAATGGTAACAAGTGTATGTTTGGCAGCCATATCCTGTATTTCCGAGCATAAAGTGTGTTGATCTACGAAATGTACACACACACACACATATATATATATATATATATATATAAGGTGTGCTTGATTCAAAATTTGAAAAATAGTTGACCGCTAGCTTTTTCTCGATTTGCTGCAATATTCCGTCTATGTTTATACCTAACAAGAGTAAAGGATAGTTACCATATTTTTCGAGTAACATTAATTGTCTTGTGCTAGTGTTTTGTGGATACATACATGTTCGATTAGAATCCACGTACCTGAACAACCACTTGTTGATTCATTAGACTTTAAGACCTCAAATGCGAACAATATTATTATAACACAACAATACTGCTTTGACACGAATATTGAAGTATGTATCCCATTTTAACATGCACACACACATATATATATATATATATTATACATATACTCGATTCTGTTCGTCCAAATTAGTTTAGACTCATTGTAACGTGTATATGAAGTATTATATGATGTATACACATATAAACATATATTATTGTCCAAATTTCTTTAGACTCAATGTAACGTGTATACGAAGTATTATATGATGTATGCACATATAAACATACACTATTTATGTACGCCACACTACGTGTTATAATTGTTAGTACATTCAGCTTCACATGATATAATGTACCTCACTCCATCCACCCTTGCAATCGCGAACAGCATTTCGTATATAAATTTCATTGAACACTTCTTTCATTGCTGTTGTCTCGTAGTAGGAACAGATATTGTCCAGTTGCCTCACCATTGCTCATGTTCTCTACTGCACTGCGTTTCCAGAACATTCTCAAACTGAAGGAGAAGACAGTGCCAAAAAACTATCTGCGCCACAACACAGAGCAGGCCGTGGGCCAGTTCCTGCGGTCACACATCCAGACGGGACGTCGCCGCAAAACTGACAACAGCATCTGTAAAGATGAAATTGGCGATTTAAAAAATAGCACATCGGCGGGAGCGGGTGCTAAGTCTGGATCGGGCGGTGGACGTAGGTTAGTGACAATATCAGTAACAACGGAATTGAGTTTTGTTAGGTTGTAAATAAGTGTGTTTAGAATCGAACTGATACGCGCAGAATTGTAAATCGCATGGTGGTAAATGTCGCACGTCACAGAACAATGTTGGATGAGGCGCATGCAGCACTCGCAATGGATATGAACATATACCGTGCGAGCATATTTGTTTAATTATCTACGCGTTAATGTAGGTAGTACATCAGTAGTGGGTGTTGCTGTGATGCATATGCTGCTGCAAATTGAACGTGCGCGAGTTTTTCTAGCTCGCGCTTATATGTGGATAACTTTTCTAGCTATACTTAGACGTCTATTGAGACTTACATTGGATGTTGTGCGTATGCTGTGTCATGATCGATGCCATTTCTCGGGAGATTTATATAGCCTACATTTGAAAATCAAATACATTTCTGAGGGAAATCAGTTGTTGAATCCTGATTCGATGGACCTAAGTGCAATTGGTTTTCGGTGGGGAAAGGAACATATCTCGAATCATTGTTACAATCCTTCAACCTCAGTTGAAATAACACACCCCTTTCCTCGTGCATACTGAGCAAAAAATGTCGGAACAAAATTAAAAGGACAAATTACATCTGTCGAACCCAATTAACCAGCATGATAACATTCTATCTAAAAATAAACTGTGGGGTGGCACTTTGTCCACCAACCTCCTCAGTAGCAGCTATTCAATCTGCACATTCTATTGACATTTTTCTCCTCAATTGTCCTTCACCATCTTCTCGTCAGTCAGTTTATGGAGGAGACCGTGGGCCAGTACTTTGTTAACCAACCCCTTACCATCCCCGCCGGCCGCAGTGGGCCGGATGCCATGCGTGTGGGTATGTTCTCGTGTGCCTATATGCACTGCTGTGTTTGTTTGTCTTGCTAAGTAATGCGTGTGTATTTGTGATGTGAGAGTGCGATGTTAACTGATAGTGCTTGTATCCATTTTTTCGCGCGAAATCGGATTATTGCTGACGTGCCTGTGTGTGAACCCTACGACGTATGTGTGTAATAGTACTTTGTGCATATATATATATATATTATATCTATCTATCAATATATATATATATGTATATATATATATATTATATATATATATATATATATA